TTTATTTATATTTTATTTTTTTGCTTCTTCAAGATTCTACCATTGGAAATTTATTTTTCTTTATAATATCAATTTTCCCGATCAATATAAATTTATTTTCGTCCTCTTCTAAGTAAATATACTTGTACATTTACTTTATATTACTTTGCCAGCCCTTTAATAAATATATTTTAATTTGCCCATCTACCTTATTTCGCCTTCAGCTAACATTTGAAAGTCTTATTGAACAGCCCTCGCCTGCTTACGTCTATTCGATATTCGACTCACCTGCATGCCCGTCTCGCGCAGATGCTCGTTGACCCAGTTGCGAAAGGTGTTCGCCTGGATCTCCACCCACAGGTCCTCGTTGCCGCGTATGTTCATGCCCTTGGCGGCGGTGCCCTCGGGACTGCGAGCCACCAGGCCGGCATGTGTGATCTTTTGGGTCTCGGTGGTGCCGTCGCTGTTGTGCTTGAGCAGGCCCGCGTGCGTCACCTTGGCGCCCTTGATGTCTTTGACGTCCATTGTGACGATCTCTTCTGCCCGCCTCTCCTCTCCTCTCTCGCTCTCTTCTCCTCACTTCACTTCACTTTCGTTGCGTTTCACTTGCCTCAGTTTCTATGCAATCTGGGCTGGCAATTGTTTCATTGTATTTGCCTTTATTTCTGTTTATTGGTCTTTCAATAATTTGCAATGCCTTTAAATAAATAAATATTCTTTTCGATTGTTAATTGAGCAACGCGATTTCGTTTTCGATCTCGAGTTCGATTTCCGAGCGCACGCGATCATTGCCCAATGCGAACTGAGCGGCTAACACTTTGGGCCCCACTTGCTTTCGGGCCAAAACAAACAGCAGGCGCTGACGAGTGCAAAAACAATGACGTCATGCCCGAGCTTAAAGCTCGACTCAACAGCAGCAGCAACAGCAACAGCAACAGCAGCGGCAGCAACAACAACAAGTGCCACAAAAATGTGGGCATGCGAATCGGAATCCGAATCCGAATCTGAAACTGATTCCGAATCCGAATCTGGCTGTGTAGAAACAGGTTTAGAGCGCTCGCTCCACAGCCACAGCGAAGCGAGCGAAAAGGAAAATTGAAAAAAGTATCTGACAATAAAGCACACAAACAACTACAAAACGCCAACAACAACAACAAAACCAGCAAAAATTCACTTAGTTTGGAATTTCGCCGTACAAAAAAAGACAACAACAAATTTGTGATCGCTCAGTGCGAGGTGGGCAGCGTCTAAGAAATCAAGTAAAAAATAAATAGAAAAAAACTAGCAAGAGTGCAGCAGGAGTAGGCAGTGCATGACTGCGAGATACGCTGTAAAGGCTGCTACTCAGTTATATATAGAGTTAAGCAGAGTATATATTTAGCTGACGGACTGAAGCTGATTCGCTCTGAGATCTGTCTAGTAAAAGCTAAAAGCTAAAAACTTTTACGAGCAAATCATAGATATTGACAGCTTGAAAAAAGCCAAACAAATTGCAAATTGAGTTAATTCATGAATACAGCTGATGAGAGCAAAGTAAAGCTCTCTAAAGTTACACAGAATTTGAGATATTCAGCCCAGGGGCAGCTGGTTTTATGAACTAATAAATAGATAAATGATTGAATGGATCCTAAATGGAATAGATTTGTAAATGTAAAAGATGGATTGATGTATCTAAGAAGCAGATGCAGAGAAAAATAGAAGGATAAGCAATCAAATGGATGAATAAACAGCTATTGGTTACGTCTTATTCAAATGAGCCATTGAGGAATGTACATATCTTCCTGAAACATAGAAGTGCCCATCCAGCTGGCATATATAATATAGCACCTGATACACCTCAAGAGCAAAGCTTGAGCTGATTTGCTTTGCTTGCATTAGATTCAACTCTTCAAAAACAAAGTTAATTACATTTCTCTAATCAAAATCAAAACACCCGCGTTACACACTTTCTTTATATAGAGGGTATAGATAGTGTGTGGTTGTATGCTGTTGTTGTTTCTGCTGGCACAGCGTAGGAAACTGTAAGTCTTTCACAACAGTCAGAGCCACAGCCACAGCCACAGCATGGAGCAAGTTTAGAAGGCCGTCAAGGTTTCTGCTTACAGCCCATATAGGCATTGACAACAACGATGTATGTATGTATATATGTGCGTGTGTACATATGTTTCAGCCCGGTCTCTATGGCCGTGTCTGGCTGTCTGGGTGTTTGGGTGGGTGTCGCGACTCTCTACGCGCAGCCCAAACACAATTGCAATTGTGTGGCCAATTGATCAATGTGGACGAAATTTCACTTCACTTTTACCGCAAGCATTTTCTTAGCCAAATTGAAAGCGGCCTGCAAATGCGCTAATTGCCAATTGGCACTTGATGAGACAATTAGCAAATGATGCCAAAAACTAACTGCGGTTGCCCCTGCCAAATGCTACTCGACTACTCGGCCAAAGAACTCTAGAAGCACTTCATCTGTGAATGAACTCCACATAGATACATACATACATATATATATAATATATAATATAAACATACATATAAGCCATATACGTCGCACTAGTCACTCAGCATAGATAGATCATCTTAAGAGCGCTGCTCACATTTCATATACCAAAAATAACATTTTTACGTTTTGTTGTTTTATTTGTGCATATTGAGAAACAATTTGTGTTGAGCGTGTTTACTTTATTTCGATGATGACATCACGCATCTTTCATGGAAGCACAGCGACAAGTTGAGTTTGTACAAAAACTGATTGAAAATAAGCAAGAATCAGCCAGATGCGGGTATGCGACAAACAGCTGCCCTGTAAGTCGCCCCAAGACTCTGAGTCATGCACATAACATGATGTAAGTGGGAGGGGATGTGCAGAAACTGTTAAGTGAGATGTTGTTTCTACTTGAATGATGACTTCTGTTAAGAGAAATCTACATATATGATTTTATGCATGTATATGTATTTTCTGTAACTTCCTTAGTTGGGTATTTATGAATCATTTTCATAGACCAAATATTATGTGTAGATCTAATCTGTCTACATATGTATAACAAGTCAATAATCTATTCTTGTTCATTACAATTAAAATGTCAAGTGCTTAACAGTCTTTTAACATTTATATAACATGATATGCCAGCTAATGCTTATTCACTTGACAGCATGTCAGATATGTTAAGAGACTCTTTAGTTGCCAGAAATGTTAATTAATATAGTCTGTAATCAAATTGATGTTAGCTACTCGTTAGAAGTCTCTTAAGTCCCTCTCCTATATAAAAGAAACTACAGTCTGCAGTCTGCTTGCTGTAAGCGTTGTAGAGTGAGAGAGAGGCAGACAATAAGAGAGGGAGAGCTTATTCATAAGTATTTGAGTGTATGCATTAAAATGCATTTGCATTATATTCATAGGCGCTGTTGTCATACACAGTTAACAGTCTGTTAGTTGGCGCTATGTAGAGAAATTTTAATATCATAATGTTACAGGCAAATGCCATAACAGAGAGCTTAACATTATTTAACAAATTCCTATATATTCTCATGCTCATACCAAGATTTAGATCATGTGACGCTTATCGATCTCAAGTTCTGCCTGCCTCATGATACCCTAGCTTGCTGGCGCATCAATTTTCTGACTTACAGGGTATAATTACATTACAAATGGCGTTGCGCAAATTGCATAAATTTATATAGACAGCAAACAAAAATACAAAATTGAAAAGCAACAAATACAACAATAACAAATTTGTTGTGGAAGTGAATTCCATATGAGCAAACGGTCAACAGAGGCTGTTAGAAACGCTTTAGTAAGGCCGCCAGCGAAATGAGTTATGGATTTATGTACTCGCAGTAAATGAGGAATGTAGTAGAGATATATATATAAAGCTATATACTATATGTGACTGAAATTGAACTCGACTCAATTCAAGTGAAGTCAATTGCGAGCTGTTGCTGCTGCTGTTGTTGTTGTCGTTGTTGTTTCTGATGTCATATCATTGCAATTGGCATTGGCAATGAACCTGGCCGTAATTAGTTGCTGTTAATGAGCACGCGTTCTAAATCGAGTCATATTTAATTTGTATTTTTATTTCATTGTTGTTGTTGTTGTTGTTGTATTTCTCTGCAACTGGGACTTTATTTGCAAGGTCATGGGAATGAGCACAGAGAGACTCTAACTTTTAGCTTCCACTTTAACAGCCAGCTCATAGTTGAGGCGAAGCCAGCTATTTGCACAGTTGGTCAAGAGAGCAAACAGTCAACGAAAGTGTTTGACTTAAGTTGCCTCATTTGGCCGTCGTCKTTGTCATTGTTGTTGTCGTTGTTGTTGTTGCTTTTTGTTAACATCTTTAACGTGACTGAGTCGAGTCGAGCGGCTTGTTTGTGCCGAAACAATACGTTTTTTTTTTTCTCGTCTCGATAAACACGCCCAGTTTTAGTTTTAGGGCCGCATGCCATTTACATTACGTAAGCTGCACAAATATATGTTTATGTACTTTAGATCAAGTCACTAAATTTGTATCTTATTTTGCAAGAATTTCGCCTGCTGTACGTGTGGGCAGTTTCTCTCTTTTTTTTCCATTATTATTTTTTTTTTTTTTGTCAATCTCTGGCATTTTTGTCGATACGTTTCGTTTCGATTCGATATTTGCCTGTCCGAAATTCGCCTTGCCCAAACACCCACACACGCACACCCACCTGGTGGTGCTGTGGAGCTGCTGCTGGTTCAACGCCTCGTTCTAAGCGTGGGTGACTTTTCAAGTTTGATTTGCGCCAAAGCCAAAGCCAAAGTGAGCAACAAATGCGCATTGAATTGTGAATGACTTTAATAGTGTGAACACTAAAAAACACAACAACAAGAACCAACTGTAAGTTACGACATTTTTTCATATCTGTTTTAACGCTCTGAGTATGCGTGTGTGTGTGTGGGGAAGTCACTCGAGAATTATAATAATTGCTCTTGTGTGGGCTAGAAGTTGATTCGAGTAATTAATGCCTAAAAGCCAGAAAGAGCTGAACTTATTTCACAGTTTATTTTATTTTATTTTTATGCATGGAGGAGACAACACTCAACGGAGCAGCATAATGCTTGACATAGAAATATCTCAGTTACACTTCAGAGAAAACTATTTAAGGCAAGTAATTGATAGTTGTCCAAATCTAGGCTAGAGAATGTGAACTATATGGAATTATGTGTAGGTATATAAGACGGAGAATATTTTCATTGCAAATCATGAATGAAGTTGCCTCGTTGTGTGTTTTCTACTACTATTGTATATAGTTTTAGTCAAACCTGATTTGAATCATATGAAAAACCTGGTTTATATGCTTTGGCACCCATTTGTTTCTTGTTTTTAAATTACTTTCATTAGAGTTTTGTTTTTATGAATTTTGCAGAAAAGAAAGTTAACATAGAATTAACATGTTTTAAAAGCAATTTATAAATGATGTTCTAAGTGTTTGTAAGTTAGCACTTTAACTAGATGTTTAAGCTTTTGTATTACGAAACTGATGACAAATGAGTTTATGTATATCGATATCAACATTTGCTATTAAGATTACAGCGCCTTTACATACTTATTCGTCTATTAATGACGTTAGAGTTAATAGAAGTATAATAGAATCGCTTTTGCTGCTTTCATGGTCAGCTGGAATAATGTTACTGTGTGATGTTAAAGGCATGTTAAACTCTGAGCAAAATATACAAAGGTCCCATTGAAGCCCTAACTCTGTTAAAGAATTGAAGCATATAAGCCTTTTATATGATTCTAGTCATATTCGACGTGACAGAGAATAGAATTACCTATAATATCTATCAAACGTAATAATTCGTTACTCTGTTAGCCCACTCTACGAAGGCATCCTAGTTAGCTGACGCTGATGTGCTGTGAACAGAGCTGTTAATAGTCTGTTAATATGCAAATCAAATTGCATTTCTCTTAAGTTCATGTTGATTATGTGATATACATATTGTATACTACACACGCTCTTAACTCTTTCTATATAAATATAGTGCATATAAAGCCATCAACAAACAACTTTAGCTTCTACCACAAAATTGTTTAAATATTTCATAAATTTCAAATGCCAATAAATTTAACTGTAATTATCATTGGCTTTGCACGATATTCATATTATTAATTTATGAAATCGCCTTGTACGCTCTTGCTTCAGCTTTTGGCATATGGCTAAATGCTATCTCAATTGACTATGTAGCCATTATTTATCTATAAATTTTAGCTAGCGGACACGCCTTGAGCCAATGTGGCAGCTCATTAACGTTGCGTTTCCTATGGATTGTTTGCAAACGAGCGTTTTATATTTTATTCGTATTATTATTATTATTATTTTTATTCGCTTTATTTGGGGTGTGCATTTATTGCTGTTCATAAATAGAATAAAGAATAGGCACACACACACACACGTATATATATGTAGTTATGTATGTATGCAGTGAGCACACTTGAGGCGCGCTTCAAGTTTGTGTCTTCAGTCATTTGATTTATGCCGTTAGACGTCACCAAAGCGCAGCCGCGAGTGTGTTCTATTGTACTCTTTTCTCTTGTCTTGGGTTTGTTTTTGTTCTTTTTGAGATTTTAATTTTTGCTCATTATTTTCCACACACACTCGACTTTTTTTTAGGGAGGGAAGCCACTTAAAGCAACAACAACAACAACAACAATGACGTATAACTGCGTGCTAGGCAGTCCATAACAGCCCAATTACCATTAACTAACTGCAACTGAATGCGAGCCAACACGAGCCGGGAGAAGCAAAGAAAAAACGGCTACAACTAAAAACCAATCGAAAAACCAGATTTAGATAAAGATTCCAACAGCAAAAAATAACTTTCGGTTTTTTTTTTTTTTTTTTTTTTTTTTTTTTTTTTTTTTTTAATTTTGCGCGTCGTCTAGCGGCATTACGTAATGGGCCAAGAAAATGCAAATACAGCTAAGTTATAGATAGACAACGTACATACATACACACATAGGTAGTCATGTATGTATGTATGTATTTGAAGACAACGCCCGCACGCTCGCTCGACTTTTGATATTTGCACGCCCTCTAACAGCTATTGTGAACTGATATTATGTTTTATAATACTGTGAATGCCGTTGCTTTTGGTTCACACGGCTCCGAGTTTCACGTGCTTAACATGGCTATAGAATATCTATATATATATCTAAACCTATATGTGTAGCGCTAATATATGCCTGAAAATTAGAACAGCACGTTAGGCATGCTGGGAATATGCTTTAAACTTGGCCAAAAGCCAAAACAGTCAAGCGCGGAGTTATGCATAAATATTTGTGTTGGAGGAATGCGTGCACTTTTTTTTTTAGTTTTTCGTTAAAGATATTTTTTTTTTTCGGTTGAGTTTTATGGTTAAGAAGTTTTGCTTTAGCCCAAGTCAAGCGGCATTTAATTTTTTTATTTTTATAGCATTTCTCATTAGCTTTTTAAATTTTTCATTTTCATTTTTTATTTGTTTTGTTTCTGTGTTTTTTTTTTAGCACTTGTTCGCTTCGTTCGTTTGCGCCTCTTCTTACACTTGGCTCTCGTTGCGGGCCTTTTATTGCCTCGTTTTTTTTTAGCTGTTGTTATTGTTTTTGTTGTTAGGTCTTAATATTCGTTTTGCTTGTAGCTTTGTGGGATCAAAAATCAACACGTCCAGCGCGCACGAGCTGTTCACAACGACTGAATGAGACTAGCTTAGACACGCTTTAAGCCAAGTTATTTCCAGTGCAGCGCAAAGCTTTGGAAGCGCCACTTGTGGACGTCATCGTCATCGTTTCATTCCACGATTCGCGATCTTGGCTTGTTTTGCTTAACTGCTTTGCTTTTGCGCTTTTGTTTTGGGCTCTCCATTCGCCTTTACCAGTTACCAGTTGCCCTGAGAGCTGAGAGTGGCGAGTGGTTTTCGTGGCGTTTCCGTTTATGAAACGCATTTTGGTCTGTTCTGAAATATTTTTTGTATCTCTCTTGTCTTATGCTCGCTCATAAAATAGTGAGAAGAGGGAGTATGTGGTGCAGTTTTGGAAGGGGGATTTGAGTGGATGAGTTTCAGATAAATATATGAGTTGAGATGAGATGAGTTTATGATAAATATGGACTTGCATATATAATATCTGAGATTTTTTGAGCACATATATTTATTCTTTAGATGTTACGAAGAACTCATAGTACTTTATGTCTGGTAATAATATTTTAAGTTTAAGAGAAGTTGGAATAATTATATATTAACTTATAGTTATCAGATAATATTGATATGCAAGATCTGTATGCAAATATAATATATCTGACATTAAAAATCGAAATGAATTCTTCAGATTAGTCAGTTTTAGATTATTGAGATTCAGATTATTCAAATAAAGCTTCTTCAGATCGTCCTATGTTACTTTTCTTATTTACTTACCCCTGAATGAATTCGCTGCTTGCATTCTTATAAACTCTCTCTTTCTTTCACACTGCAAGCGAGCATTGTGCAGTCGCTCACAGCCGTCTCGCGTGCTCTTATTTGATTTTCCCACTCTATTTTAATGGACTTCACGTTAATTATTGATGACTTTGTGGTTTTTCTCTCCTCGTAATTGAACAATTCGTTGACTCGCTGCGGCTTATTTCAAAAGTTATTGATTATAAAAAAAAATAAAAATACAGAAAAAAGTAAAACGCAGCTTGAGCTATTAACCTTACCCCGTCCCTTACTTACCCTTAGTGCCAGCCCTAGCTCATAATAAGTCGAAACAATAAGTTTTCTTTCATTTCTCAAGAATTTCTTTTTTCTTTTCTTTTGTTTTGTTTTGATTTTATTTGTATTTTTTAGTGTTTTTTTTTGTGTATTTTGTTTTGTTGTTCGTTTGTTACCCTTGCAGTTGTTTCTCTTGTTTTGGTTTTTTTTTTTTTTTTTTTTGGCTTGTGGCTAAACACACACACGGCTTTAAAATGCTGTTCTTTGTTTATATATATAGATGTATATATATATATGATCGAACTGAACGATCATAAGTACATAATTATTTGGGTATACAGGTGTTTTTAAGATAAGCTCGATTCACTTGCTGCAAATCGGCGCTGCTCTGAATATTATCTTTAAAAAATGCCATTAATTTGTTTTCATTTGTTTTCTCGACTTTTTCGATTTTTAGTTATGATTTGGCTTTGTCTTCTTTTTACTGCTGTTCTTATATTATATTCTTTGTGTTTTTATTTTATTTTTTATTATTTTTGGTTTTGTTTTATGAATGAAGTCATGCTGAATTAATTTATTGTATAACCTTATAAATTAATTAATTAATTTATAGTCACAAAATAAAGCTATAAATTTTTATATTTGTTTTTTTTTTTAATTTTTTTTTTTTTATTGAATTCATAAACTTATTTMGCACATCTCGCAACTGTGAAGTTCTAAGATCCAAATATTTCTTCTATTATAATTAGCAACAACACAACCAAATCGATGTAGTTTCTTCTCTTTCTCTAACCACTTTCCTTAGCCCCCTCCCCCGTCCCATCCCATCCCTGCGGTCCCCTAACAAATGGCATAACAAAAGAATCCAGAGGTTAACTCAAAGCCGACCCAAAAACAACAAAAACTACCGAAAGGCGTAAGTTAAATATTTGGATTATATGTATATGCTCTCGTCTTATGTGTGCTACGCTAAGAAGCAATAAGTTTCATTCAATATAATATTATTAAATAACGTTCTCTTTCTCTCACTTGACTAACTAAAAAATCAAAATATCTTCAACAATTTCTTTATGCATAAATTTGTTTTCTCATTTAGTGTTCGTTTATAGTTTTTGTCTCATTTTCATTTAAATACTTTTTTTTTTGTCTTAGATGAAACCCCATTTTTTATGTTTATTGTAATTATTTAATGTAGGCATATTAATGAATAAACTTTTTTTTATTTTCATTTTTGGTTTTTGATTTCTATAATAATAAATTGCAATAATGCTTCGAAATGCAATTAGGTATTAAACTATGAAAAGGAATTTTGTAAATTTTGTTATAGCTTTATTTTTGTTTTTTTTTTTTTTACGTAAATTAGAGGAAAAAATCTAAGAAAAAATGCTAACAAAATGAATTTTGTTTTTCATATGGAATTTCCATCCAGCAGCATGAAGTTTTCAATTAAGATTTTCTTGTGTTTGTTTGTAGGTCTTTTTTTTTTTAATGGGATTTTTGCTCACAGTTGGAGCGACAAATAGCACATTAACTAGCGGCTTATAGACACTCAATCAATCAATCAATCAATCATTGATATACTTAATGTAGTAGCCTAGTTTCATTTTGTTTTTGTTTTTCGTATATACTCGTAAATATTATTTCTTTTCGATTTGAGTGTGTAGTGTAGATGGGTGTGTGTGTGTGTGTGTTGACACAGAACATTTGTCTGAAATATTATTTTTGGTCTTCTCTTGTACAGATCTAATTGGTAACTAATTAAGTTATATCTAGAATTCATTCATTTTCATTTCATTTCATTTCTGTTTCTGTTTTGTTTTTCTTTTGTAATATATCTAAATTCTTCGGTCTTCGATCACTTAAGCCTGCAGTGCGTTCCCATATTATGGGTTTACCAAAAATCATCGCTTAGTTCTGCTACAGAACTTACTCTACAGCATCATCATCATCTCATCATCATCATCAACATCGTCAACATCATTAGCATCTTTGTTTCGTCTTAACTCAAATGTGATTTTCAGCATTCGTTTTATAGCTTGGCAACTAACTAACATTACAATACATTTAGATCTTTCAGTTAAGAGTAACTATATATATATCATATATAATGCTGTGCTTACTATCAAGGAAATCATCAGACCCTAAGCTAACTTTAACTAAATTTAAATTTAAATCT